GAAGTTCACTGGTGCAGTAAAATTGGTACCGTGAATGTTATTATGAAAATATTAATAACTTCAAATTACTATAAAATTAAACACTACCAAAGCAATGCAAAAAAAAGGAAAAAAATCTTTCAGATAAAAATAACCTAAATCTTTAGCTTTCCAAAACTTTGATTACTTGATCAGCGGTTGGGGAGAATAGTTATTTCCAATACATGTATTCCGATAAAAAAAACAGGAATTTAGTTTTGAACATATTAAAAATTCTTTTAAGGGCATTATTTTTGAACATTTCCCTGACATAATGAAACAGTATTTGATGTAAAAAGCCGGACCAAATTATTGGCTGTGAAATAAAATTTAGTTGTAACTCAAATGTATTAATTGATTTAAACTGTAAATAAAAAAAAGGATAATTCCTCACTAAAATATTACATGATTTACATTCATACTCACAATCAGGAAACATACAATTCCTACCTTTTCTTTCTACTGTTGTGTCACCTAATATCTATAACGCATTTTTTTTAAAATATTTCCCAAATGATAAGAAAGTCCTCACATCACTAAAACTAATCCATAAATGACATGCCGAAAAAGGAAGTCATGCATCAATTATAAACATTGCACTGACAATGAAACTAATTGATAGATCATTTGAGCCTTGAGCACTTTACAATATTCTAAGTTTGTAAGAGAATGATAATCCCTTACTTCATGATAAGTACTCGCTAACGCTCGTACTTATTCATGAAGAAAGGGATTATCATTCTCTTACATATACATATTATGTTGAGCGAAATTCCCCTAGGGCATCATTCCGATTTGATCAAATAAAAACATATCTTCTATCTTCCTGTCACCTGTCATATTGTATTCGATATTTGCCACTAGACGTTAAGCAACCAACAGTCAATCGATGTCACCTTTGTTTTTTTTATAGAATGGACTATTTGTGAAAGCGGTTTTATACGCGTTATATTTGCGGGAAACAAATGAATTCCCCCGAGGAACAAGCTGAAGTATATTTTATTGTTGAGCCATCATATAATACGTTGTCTCAAATAAATATGACAAGATAAACTAACCCACCGAGATATCCATTTCCTACATTACTGATAAAATCTGCATCTTTTATTAACCTTTACCTTTACCTATCTTGTATTTGCCACCCTTATCAGATGAACCACTGGCACTGTTGTCTTTTGTCAGTGTAGAGATTCTCGTTGAATCCTTATGAACTGTCACAATATGTATATCCTCGGACACAATAAAAACGGTGCACTTATAAATCAGTTATAGATAAAATTATCAAACAAATACACTGTACACTGTACATATCCCAGCAACACTATATCTATATCATTTTTGATGGGACTGCATCTTAAATGTCATCACATATGTATCTTGCCCATTTCACATATAACTGTTTACTACTTCAAGATCATACAATTGGTGCACAACTTTGGTGCAACCTAAAACATAATCCAGCACTAATATTCACAATATGAACATGTGGTCGAGTTGACAAAAAAATAAACTTTGAGCAGTCAATAATTAGTTATATCAAGTTGTTACTCTCATGAAATAGTTCATCAAACAAAGTTCCACATATAATGTCCTTAAGGTAGCATTTCAATTTGTCGATGAACGGAGACCTAATTTCCTGATTATAAAGTGATGACGATCTTCAGGTTCATTTTTACATAATTGACAAATTGGACTGACGGAGTGTCTACTGAATTTTGCTTTTTTAACAGAATCATTAAAGACTTTCCAAAAAAGGACCGAAAATTATAAGGATTTTTTTTCATAACTGATTCAAAGCTTCTCGACGTGTAGGAAGTTTTGACGATCAGCAACTTCAATATTTAATTTTCGATCTTGAATGCATTGTTAATCAGAACATTTTTGTATTCAATTTTGAAGTAGTAGTTTTTACGGAGCCCCTTAAGTTCCAAAGTTCGCAAAACTTATAATTTGATCGCACAACTTTGAAACTTGTGTAAACAACGTTTAATCATGTGCGCAGAATTTTTAAAATTATGCATTCTAAACACATTATTGTACTTGTTGTGCAGTTCATGACCCCAAGCACCTGTGATCCTCTACATTTCCACAAACAAACCCTAAGCATGTTTTTTTTCTTGGGACTAACAATTTTTTTTCGGCTTTTATCAATAACAAAATAATTCCTGGACTTCACGCAAGATAAACACCTACTGACAAAATTATTCCTACTAAATTTAATAATGTTTGCAATATATACTTTTTCACAATGACCATGTAACTTCTCTACATAAGCATCGATCTTTGCTGTATATCATGTTCAGCCACATGTAGTCTTTCTTTACCACAAAAAGGATGTACGCTCTTTTCCAATTAAAAGTATAAATGTGTATTACTTTAGTAATGATTCTACATTTTATACATGTGTACGTCTGGCTGGTTACATCTGGGACAAATTATAATATACATACATGTATCAAGCCACATTCCATATATAGATATAAGAAGATGTGGTATGAGTGCCAATGAGACAACTCTCCATCCAAGTCACAATTTGTAAAAGTAAACCATTATAGGTCAAAGTACGGCCTTCAACACGGAGCCTTGGCTCACACCGAACAGCAAGCTATAAAGGTCCCCAAAAATGAAAATTGTAAAACCATTCAAACAGGAAAACCAACGGTCTAATCTATATAAAAAACGAGAAACACTTGTGAATCACATCAACAAACCACTGAACATTCTGACTTAGGACAAATGCAAACAAATGCAGCGCTGCGGGTTTAAACGTTTTAATAGGCGCAAACCTTCACCCTACCTAAAACAATACATATATTTATAGCAACATTCAAGCAGCACCTGTTTATAGTGTATAAAAGTTGATACGATATAAGTGAACATGTGTTGCCTTGAGAAAGGGTTGATATGTACAAGGAATCAACTGAACCAATGATGTCTAATGATAAAATTCATCACCTTAAAAGATTTTATATCGCCGTCAATACATTGTAGATCGATAGGTGAGCGTATAACTGTCAATCACAATTGACCAGGGATATCCTCCATTCATCGTAGTTTCAATCCCGCTCTTGACTTTTCATTCATTTTTGACGCCATCAATAAATGCATCTATAAATGCTCCCGCAAACATGTTCAACCCCGCCATATTCTGTATTGGCCTGTCCCATGCCAAGGGCCTGTACTTCAGTGGTTGTCGTTTTTTTGCTGTATATCATATTTGTTTTTCGTTCATTGGTTTGTACATAAATCAGGCCGTGAGTTTTCTCGTTTGAATTGTTGGACAGGTGCAAACAAATGCAGCGGGTTTAAACGTTTTAATAGGCGCCAACCTATAACAATATTGTAAACCAACAAATTTTCGCGACTTTCGCGAGTGAAAAAATAACGCGAAAATAAATCGTCGCGAATATATAGCACTTGGGTCTTCTCTCATATAATTACATAAAAAAAATGAGAAAACCGCGAAAATAAATCGCCGCGAAGTCGACTGAAAATTGCTTAATGCGAAATAAAGTATCCGCAAAAATAAATTGGTTTACAGTATTTGCCCAAGTAACTGTTCAAAGGGAGATAAATAAAAAATATCACTTGTTTTGTTAATATTATCTTCCGAATGAACTGTTATTTTCACTAATTGATGTATTGTCATGTAAATAACAAGTAAATAAAAATTAGCAATCATCAAATTAAAAAACAATGTTACTGGCTATTCACCAGATATAAAGTAGAACACAATATGGAGTACTTATAAACAAAATGAAATTTTAAATTAACCAATAGCTCACGACAAGCCTCACGTCATAACAGCTGTAATTGAAACAATTATACCTCATCTCCATATTTTTATACAAAAGATCATTACAGTGTCGATAAACCAGACCTTTGGGTGTCATTTGGTGTTTTGTGTCTCATTTGCATATGTAGATATCCCACATCTCGTGTAGGTATAATACATAAAAATCTAGTACCTTTTTATTACATAGATTAAAACCAGATACAATCACGACATTCTAATATCGTATCTGATTCGATTTGCTGACATTTCTTTGTAAAACTCTTATCTTCATTTGTGATTAAAATTTTATGATAAACTTAATATTTTCCCAAGAAATATATATAGAAAATAAACCTATTCTATTAAGGATTGAACAACCGTGACTATTATTCCATGTGCTGTGGTAAATCATTACGTTTTATTGGGACAATTATCGAATGTTTTTGAATATTCTTATCCTGAAAGTATCATACCATTACATGACGATGTACTCAAAGTATATCATTATTTTATTTCAGAGCTTAAATAAAGCCAAAGGAAAAAGACGGATAACGAAAAAAGAAAAAAAGCAAATCAGTAAACGAGGGTAAGTGAAAACTTCCAATACATATAGAACAGTGGCGACATTGATACTCCTGAATATCAGACGGCTATACTCGTGACAAGCAAAGAAGCAGGAAATCTCTTGAATTAAGAAAACAAAATGCCAAAATAACCTTGCAAATATGCATCAAGTGTATGTGTTCTACTTAATACTATATCCAGTAAAAGGAAATGATCAAAATGAACACCATCAAAAAAGCGCCACAAACGCCTGTATTTTGCAAAGCAATAATTTGCTTTTAATAACGATCAAATACGTTAATTAAATTTACATGTTTATTGTTTACAGAAGAATCAACAACCATTCCAGAGTAACCGAGTTCACCTCCTGTTCGTGTTGCATTATCAATAGTTTTCCGTGAAGTGGTTTGTGGGCTTGCTTCCCTGTCGTCGTTTTTATTATTTGCCATGATAATGTTTTTTTTTCTTTCTCTTGTTGATTTTTCTTATTGCCGGTTGGTACTTTTTCCCCATCTTTGTAATGTTTAAAATAAATATTTCATGTTAATAAATATTTAAATTTAACCTGGGCAACTCATTACACAATGATTTTAAGTTGTCTAAAGACCAACAAATTTACTAGAGTAAAATAAATCATAGTAAATAGCTATTTTAATACGTTGTATTTAAAAGTGTAACTTTTAATAAGAGATCTTATACAGAATGTGAATACAATTGTCGATTGTTATCAGCCAGTATTAAAGCGTGTCCTCTTTATATTGGCTGCATTTTTGTCTTCATAAAACAAGTTTAATTGATAGACAATTTATAGCGAATCAAAACCGTGTAGATATCGTCATTAAATGAAATTTAGAATTGGTACAATAAATAATAAAAAAAAACATGTATAACGCTTCCTTTTTAATATCTTTAATAAGGCTCCTTTTAACGCTTGGTGGAAGCAATCGTTAGTTGTCTAGATGAGTTTCATTTCGTGTACCCTATTGTGTTATTAGAAAAACAACACACATACTTTAGTTAATAGACACATGTTACAACCCTATCCATCCTGGATAGAAATAATCAGTGTAATTAATTCTTTTCTCAAATCCTGATCCTGATTTAGCTGGCCATTTGAAGTATGTCACTTCTCCACCAGCTAACCATCCAGACCACCAACCGAAGGACCCAATTGTTATAATCGTATGGTTGCAAGATGCTAATGTTGCCATGTCAACCACATCACTGTTTTGTATAAATTCTACAGATATATCAGAAGGCATATATTTTTTAGCCCAAGGCATGCCATTAGATGCAACTATAAATATAATATTTTGATATCTTTCCTTGAAATAATTGACAGCTCTTATCAGATATTCCGGTGAAGCAACATTATACCCTTGTTTATTGTTAACCATGTCACCTCTTCGTATATGTACACCTACTAATGTTATTTTATAGCTTGGTACATTGTTGAATTTATGGAGAATTTTGACTATATTTTTCTTAACAATATTCATAATTTCTACACGAAACGTGAGTTGCTCTTTCAGTTCCTTTCTTAAAGGAAAGAAATATTTCCATGATTGTAAATAATTCTGTAATTTGAAACTTTCTTTTGGACTAAAATTTATAAGTTTGTCATCGTATGAAGCTGACAGTTTTTCGTTTCTCCTTTTGAAACTATTGCAAACGCTTGTATCGTTCCTCACTTTAACAGATAGCTTGAAAACTTTGTTTATTCTTGCATTTTTATTTACAAGGATAGTCATATTTTTAGACTTTGCTATTCCGAACGTAGAAGCAAATTGAAAGATATTATTTCCCAAGCCAGAATGGAAAACAGGACATAACATACCATAGTTTGACGAAATGTAGTTTTTACGACTTGTAAAAGGTCCTCCTTTTTTAGATGGTGTTTTGTGTCTTTTATAAGACATTGTTTCTTTGTCCTCGTGCATTATGTATTTCACTATAAACGAACTGTTCCCTGTTGCCATGATCAATGAAACCGGGAATTGCCTACAAAGTTGTATACCACTCACAATCAAAATGTATATGACGCCTAAAACTATACAACCTGAAAAATATATGATTACTTATTTTGACATTCGTGTAAGATTTGTAACATAATTGTACATAATCTCGTGTCTTTCATTTGTGATGGAAAAGTGTATGGCAAGCCGTTTTTATATTTATTCCATTTTCAAGATATCTTTACAAATAAATAAGATATCTTACTAAGTAGTTGAGATATCTTATAAATTAAATACGATATTTTATAAATCGAATAAGATATCTTATATATTGAATAAGATAGCTTATTCAACAGTCTAAAAGATATCTTATTAAGTTAATAAGATATTTCATTTAGCTAATGATATATCTTTTTTAGGTTATAAGATAGCTCATTAGATTATAAAGATATCTAATAAACCATATAAGATATCTGATATATATTTTTTTCTTTTAAAGAAATCTTATCAACTTACTATATATATAACATAAACAAGATATCTTTTTGATTAAATAAGATATCTAATAAACTAAATAAGATAAGTACATAAGATAGTTTGTATTCTAAACAAGATATCTTATTTTTTTGAAGTTAAAAAAATATCTTACATACTTAATAAGATATCTTATATATGAAATAAGATATCTTTTATATAAAATAAGATATCTTATATATGAAATAAGATATCTTATATATAAAATTAGATATCTTATTAATGAAATCAGATATCTTTTTTATCAAATAAGATATCTTATAAACTTAAAAGATATCTTATTAAACTAATATTGATATCTTAAAGCTAAATAAGATATCTTTATAACTAAAGAAGATATATTTAACACTAAAAAATATATCTTATGTTTTGAAAAGATATCTTATTAACCAAATAAGATATCTTATAAATCAATTATATAAGATATCTCGTATTGCTTATAAGATATCTTATTAAGTAAATAAAATTTCTTGTAAACTTTTAAAGATATCGTATAAACTGTACAAGATATCTTATAACGTATTTGTTTAAAAGATATCTTTAAAAAGATATAAGATATCTTATTTAGCTGAAAAGATATCTGTTTAATTAAATAAGATATCTTATTTAGTTTAAAAGATATCTTTTTAAGTTAAATAGATATCTTATAAGGTTGATAAAATATCTTATAAAGAATATTAGATATTTTATTAACTTCAAGTTAAATAAGATATCTCATATAGAATACAAGATACCTTATATACTTTATCAAATATCTTATTTATTTTCTAAGGTATCTTGAAATTGAATAATATAAAAACGGCTTGCCATAAAAGAGGTTACTTTTGTATTTTAAATGACTCGTGCTATGATGCAGTTTACAATGTCATTGGCTTAGATTATTTTTGACACACCCACACCCGCACCTTCACCATCGCATACACGCACACGTAACATTCCACAAGAAGACGTGTCACCCATACCTGACAAATTATTCAAACTCCGAGCCTTCACTCTTTGCATTTACTCAAAAATGCCACAGGTTGAACGGAGAAGCAGCACATTACACATTACAAAATCCCTGACTTGATAATTTACCTGTGATGCATTGATTACGTTCATTGAAATCTATGACATCACTACACACACGGGCATAACGAACGAGTTGGGATATATATACACCGTATGATGGAGCCAAAGGAACATCGCCGTCTAAAAAAGGAAAATTAACAATTGGAAATGAAAAATCGTCTCTTTTGTCGTAAATTTCAGTATGGAGTTTCCCTTTAGAAATTGAAATGTCTAAATCTAGATAAGGACAACTACTGCTGTTTATGTTAGATTAAGTTAAAGTAAGTTCCTTTGGGTAAATTTCGGCAGTATATTAAGAGATCTCTGGATTATTTAACGAAAAAATATCATCAAGATAACGGTAGGTATTGTTGAATGTATCAACCAAATGTAACAATGACGTGTCTTTACCGAGTTTGGTCATAAACTGAGATTCATAGCAATACAGGAATAAATCTGCTATTAAAGGGGCGCATTTAGTGCCCATAGGAATACCTACTACCTGTCGAAGCACATTTAACTATTAGTAGCTATATATAGAATAACTTACATGTAAAATGCTTCATTCTCACGAAGCAAAACAAATCTGAAATACACAAACGAAAATCCAAAAATTAAACTCTTCTCAAATGCCAGTATTAACAATATCATATAACTGGCACCTTCCCATACATATCTGAGGCATGTTGTATATTTCTTTATATCATTTAAATGATAATTCGGTGATAAGTCTCGACGCTAGAAAATAGGACCGTATTGTGGTTACGACCATATGAACATATCCGTAGTCATTTGTGTCACAAAGTTCCATAACAGTCAACCATCACAAGATGGCGTCCGTTAAACTTTCGAAGGTATGTCTTCAACCGAATTTTTCAGGATTTTCTGTAAACCAACTTATTTTCGCGGATACTTTGTTTCGCGTTAAGTCCTTTCTAGTCCACTTCGCGGCGATTTAATTTCGCGATTTTCTAATTTACTTGATGTAGTTAAATAAGGAAAGATCAAAGCTTTACATATTCGCGACGATTTATATTCGCGTTATTTTTCTACTCGCGAAAGTCGCAAAAATAAATCGCTCGCGAAAATTAGTTGGTTTACAGTACCTTCACCAGGAACGTGCAATCTCAAAATTTTTATGGTAAAGGATGTGTAAGTATATGAATACGTGAGGAGCTAAATGACAAAAAGGGACTTCAAAAAAATGCCCAAATCTATGTAAAATCAACTTTGCCAAAGAAAGTTTGAACTTTGTGTTTATTAATAGTTTAAAATTAATCAACGGAGAATTTAAGAAAGGTATGTTTTAAATCATATCAGTACCGAAGCACTGACTAATGAACTGATGATACCCTCCGACCTAGTAATTCATTGTTGCACTTATACTTACTATTTTGTTTTATCAGACTCTTTTATGTTAAGAAAAAACAAACATGTCAAAATACAATAATAAAGTTTAAAAGATGAAGCTACGACAACTTCAAAAACCTAATAAAATTGGAAATTAATAAAATTGCGGACTAATATTTTAATATATAAGGTATGTGTCAACCATGTATTGTGTTATTGCAGCGAATAAGAGATTTGGTATAAAAATAGGTTTGAAGCAATTGATGTGTAATGAAAATGATATTTGTAGTGACATATTTTTATTACACATAGCATACGTTTACTGTGATAATTAAACTTTACTTGGATATTTCGAACACTATTTGTCATAAAACGCTGTATGTAATATTATTATACATTTGTATTCCTGTCATAAATAGTCAAAAGTATTTTGTAACATATTTGCAATAACTATTTTCTTATTGTCATTGATTTGGGTATTTCTAAGCTTTTACACAATAATGGAAGTCATATTGCAAAATATCATGAATATTGAGGAAAATCTTGATCAGCCATTTTTATTTCTAGGAGGGGCCATATAATTTAGTTCAAACAGACATTTTTTTTAGACTCTTAATTTTTTTTAATTGTTGATCCTTTATAATGAGACTATTTTCTCTTTATTTACCAGATAAGACCATGTATGTGATATACCTCTTCAGATTTCTTAGATGGAGAGATATTTACATATGTCCAACAATATCTTCAAGAAAAATTAGCCCATAACCACAGTGTACCACTCTGTAGTCTTAATTAAAGACAAATCTAATATTTAACACAAAATAACAATAATTAATTCTGACAGAATCTTCTTGCAAATATATCTATTATTATTTTATTTCATATTTTCTATTAATACTTATGTTATAAAAAAAAATCAAGAAATTAATTGACTTTGTAAAAAGATGGTATACTTAATTACTATGTTTTGCAAAATAAGGGGCAATAATTCTTATCATTTATATTAATAGAACAACTTTGTTGCAGTGAGTTAGTGAATTTGAGTAAATATCACTAAAAGATTTTATTTTATTCTTTAACATTACTTAATGTGGTATAAAATCTGACATTATTATCTCAAGTTGTGAACTTGTAAGGGTTCACTGATAATTATTTATTATATATGCATACCCAATAAAATGTTTCAAGAAGTGGGGGGATTGCAATAATGAATGATCTTTGAATTATCAGAAATATATTATATGCTATCAGATTATTCAATCCATCTTGTATGGGAAGGGATTTGTATAGGCATTGCCTGTGCTTACCAGGAAGCGATTGAACTAAGTTATATTGGTAAAAATGAAGTTATCCCTTCGAAAGTTTTACAGACGTCATCACGAGTTGGTTGACCGTTATGAAATATCTGTGTCAGATGACCACGGATATATTCCAATTGTCGTTACCACAAACCCGACCTCTTTTCCTATATTGTGACATCACTAAATAAGACTCATCACCGAATTTGTACTCAGCATGAACAATACGACGCGTGCCACTAGTGGAGCAGGATCTGCTTACCTTTCAAGAGCTCCTGAAACCATAGTTTTGTTCGAAGGGGTATGTGTTGTGTTTGCTTTAGTTTTCAGTGTTGTATAATGTTGTATTGTATTTTTCAATGTTGTAATGTGTGATATATTTTTTGAATGTCTGTGATCTCTCTACCAGTAAATGTCTCGTTTAGCCTTCGTTCTAGAATATCAACATCATCTTTCATATTTCGTCAATTTTTGTATTAGCGGATGTATTAGGGTTAGACAAGACACATTTATCAATCTGCTTTCGTAAGATGCTGAATCTTAGCATATGACTTTTCGTTTCTCACTTTAAAACTATTGCAAACGCTTGTATCTTTCTTAACTTTAACAAACAGCTTGAAAACTTTGTTTACTCTTGCATTTTTATTTACAAGGATAGTCATATTTTTCGCTTTTGTTATTCCCAACGTAAAGGCAAATTGAAACATATTATTTCCAAAGCCAGCCTTGAAAACAGGACATAACGCACCATAGTTTGTCGAAATGTAGTTTTTACGACTAGTAGAAGGTCCTCCTTTTTCAGATGGTATTTTGTGTCTTTTAGAAGACATTGTCTCTTTGTCCTCGTGCATTATGTATTTCACTATGGATGAACTGTTCCCTGTTGCCAAGATCAATGAAACCGGCGATTGCGTACAGAGTTGGATACCACTCACAATCAAAATGTATATGACGCCTAAAACTGTACAATCTGAAAAATATATGATTACTTATTTTGATATTCGTGTAAGATTTGTAACAGAATGGTACAGCATCTCGTGTCTATCATTTGTGATGGAAAAGTGGTTAGTTTTGTATTTAAAATGACTCGTGCTATAATTCAGTTTACAATATCATTGGCTAAGAAGACATGTCACCAATCCCGGACAAATTATTGGGACTCCGAACCGACACTCTTTGCATTTACTCAAAAATGCCACAGGTTTATTCGAGAAGCTGCACATTTTCGAAACATATTACGAATATTTAGGCTGAACATATGTCAACCATTGTTACCATTTTTGATTACCAAAACGACACTTATTGAATGATCACAACATGTTGTGCATATTTATCCATGAAATGTATTCACAGCAGTAGGTCGGTATCATGGAGATACTATTTCACAAAACAAAATTTATCGTTAATCGACACAATCCTAACAAATCTGTATAATCCTATTTCTGCATAGTAATTTCATATTCTATACTATGCACATTTAACTATTAGTAGCTATATATGGAATAGCTTACATGTAAAATACTTTATGCTCACGCGGCAAAAAAATTCTGAAATACACAAACGTAAAATCAAAAATTGAACTCTTCTCAGATGCCAGTATTTACAATATCATACAAGTGACACCTTCCTATAACTATCTGAGGCATGTTGTTTATTTCTTTATATCATTTTAGATTATTCAGTTTATATATGTTCAAAAACTACTTGTTTGAACATTGTACTGATTCATGTTAATGAAGAAAAAGCCCCCCCCCCCAAAAAAAAAAAAAAAAAAAAAAAAAAAAAACACAGTCTCCGAAATTTTGATCTACTTAAATAAATATCCTGATGTGTTACAACATGAATTATATATTATGAGCGTATTTGTAACATCCTCAGGCATAGTTGAACTCAGATGAATTTGGCTTTTATTTTGGGTCCTTTAGGTCATTTAGCTCTTCATGTGTTTAGGTAGTTATACATCACTAGTAGCAAGATTTCAGTCTGAAACGGTCATTTTGGTCTGATCAAGTCTGAATCATCTGAATTTACCGCTAGGGAAAAACGTTAAGACTTTTTAAGACTTTCAGACGCTGTTCAGATATGTCGTGTTCAGTCCGTTCATTCATGTCAAGATAAACAAGACAGAAGGCTCTAGCTGTTAAACAAGATATGTTAAGACGGTTTTAGACGAATTCAGACCAAACATAAAAAGTAATGTTCAAAATTTTCAGATCGGGTTAAGATCCGTTTAGTGTGTCAGAATGATATTAGGAGTTACGCCCCTTCATGTGGATGATACATTTTAATTATAAAAAAATTACAATATAAGTTTTCTCGTTTGAATTGTTTCTCACACTTTTCACGTCGGGCCTTTTGACAGTATCGGGTTTTGTCATTGTTGAAGGCCTTAATTACGGTTGTCTATAATTGCTTACATCCACTTCATATTTGAACTCCGGTGGATAGTTGCCTCATTAGCAATCATACATTTCTTCGTTTTTATTTATTTACCTGACTTTTAAACTCGTGTTTTGAACCGAGTCCTGAACATGCATGACATATTTGTCACTGGGCCTTAATAATTAGCAACAAACAATCAACCAATTAAACTTGTGTTAAATAAGAAGAAAATCCATTTGATATTCATTCATTTAGTGGGGTGGGCTGGTAATTAAGAGCTGAAAAATATGCATAATAAGCGACAGATTAAAAATGTTAATAATGCCCTCTATAAATTTAAACTGACCACCACGGAATAGCCCAACTTAGTGTTGAAAGTAGCGTTAAACACCAATCAATCAAAATCCCTTCCCTAGAATATCAAATAGTCGTCCCTTAACTTTTATTGTCCGTGTAGTTCTTATATTTATCCAGCTTATCGTCATACAGGGATGTCCTATTAAGACTGTCATACCATAAAAACGTTAATAACACAGCTCACATTCCAATATATCTGCATTCATAAATTTATTAATGTCATTTAGACTAAACGACGCCATGTTTGTTATGTGCCTCAATCTAATTAAAATATAGATCTCGGATTTCGTTATACTAAGTTATACTACATACGAGGTATGTAGTATAACGTAGTATAACGAAATCCGAGATCTATATTTTAATTAGATTGTTATGTGCCTCTGCCGTCTAAACTACCTATCAAAAACGAAGAGGTGGAAGAGGGCCAGAAGATCTTCCCTATGCAAAAAAACAGAAATGGACCTCTTCTGGCTCACTACCGAAGAACAAAAAAACACGCCCCTGTTTCTTGTTGAAGACTGATTTACCCGGTACGTCTAAACACCACCTAGGCCGCCTTGGTGCACTAAGCTCTGAAAACTGCACTAAGCCCATGATGGAACAGTCATATAAGTACCTAGGTCATTCAGTATGATAATGTTGTAAATAAAGAGCATATATTTAAATTTTGGTGTAAATGTATTTAGAAATGAAAGAGTTATAAACATTTTACATGGCACGCGCCGACTTTTGTATAATGTGTCCAGTTATCATAGTGTTGATTGAATCCACCGAAGCTTGACGAGTTCATATAAACTAATACCAATATCTTTATTCCCATAACCATTGCAGATACATAGGTACAGAGAGAGTGCAAAATATGTACATGAATATGCATCTATTTACAAAACATATATACAATACAGTGGTTTCCAAATAATATACATTTTAGCTAGGAAGACCCACATGTTTATTTATACACTTTATAAACTTACATAATCTTTTTAGCTCTATATTTTTGTTTAATTTGCTCATCAATTTTCTAAACTTTAGTGTATTAACATAAGCCAAATAGTACTTATCAAGGTATAATTTTCTACTGTCGTTAAAAAATGGACATTCTAGCAGATAATGAAATTCGTCTCCAATGCTACCAATATTACAAAGATGACATTTTCTCTCATTTCTATTAACATTATTCCACCTCCCTGTCTCTATTGAGAGTCTGTAGTTTGTGTTTCTATATCTACATAAAATAATACTTTCGTGCATATCCAACATATCAAAATATTTTTTTTCAAAATTTAATTCTAACTTAAAAATTCTATAATTTACTGATTATGTAGACTCTTGAAATTGTGTATTCCACAACTGTTTGTATTGGTCTTGTAATCGCAACTTTAGTGCATTTTTTAATCATATATCATTACCAAAACATTGAGAAATCCAAATATTTGAAAAACCACATTCATCCAATATATTTTTATCTTCACTCACAAAAAATGTACATACATTATTAACAGTAAATAGTGTTTTTAATAGTGTATATGCGATAGAAGATAACTTAGTCTCTTTAGCAGATACTAATTTACACCAATAAGATACTATTTTTAATTTAAAGGATATCTACCAAGTTCTCCGTATACCATATAGCTAGGTGTGGAATTTTCAGTTTCAAAAGAAGTTTACAGAATTTCTGATGGATTCTTTCTATAATTTCAACATCACCATGCCCCCAAATTTCACATCCATACAAAAGTATGGGTTTCATAACTTTATAGAAAAGATCTAAGTGACACTGAGTGGAAAGATTATGTATGCGGCCTGATTTCAACACCTTAAACATAGCTTGTGTGGCTTTTTCTGCTAGGTGTTTCTGTGCTATTTTAGTATTACCAGTTCTAGATAATAATATGCCCAAATAGTTAAATTCTTTTAATATTTTCAATGTCAGTGCCGTCTATAGCTATATAAAAATGTAAATTTGACGGCATTCTGCCTCTACAAAAAATCATCACTTTAGTTAACTTTAAGCTTCCAAATATTACAGTATTCACTGAAAGAATCCAGCTGTTTCTGTAAATCATCAGCACTTTCTGCCAATAGTACTATGTCGTCTGAACTAAGGATATGAATGGAAAGGTTAAATATGCACCAAGATTGTAAATTAAGATTGATTATTATAATGTAAAAAAATATGTTCAAAGTTGGTTCGAAAATCTTAAGAGATTTAAAAGTTATCATAAAAAAGAAGATGTGGTATGATTGCCAATGAGACAACTCTCCACAAGAGACCAAATGACACAGAAATTAACAACTATAGGTCACCGTACGGCCTTCAACAATGAGCAAAGTCCATACTGCACAGTCAGCTATAAAAGGCCCGGAAATGACAATGTAAAACAATTCAAACGAGAAAACTAACGGCCTAATTTATGTACAAAAAATGAACAAAAAACAAATATGTAACACATAAACAAACGACAACCACTGAATTACAGGTTCCTGACTTGGGACAGGCACATACATACAGAATGTGGAGTTAAACATGTTAGCGGGATCCCAACCCTCCCCCTAACCTGGGACAGTGGTGTAACTACAACATAAGAACGAACTATAAAAATCAGTTGAAAGAGGCTTAACTCATCAGATGGATAAAAATACAAATACTACAAATACAAGTTAACATTTTTACGGGCACGCGCTCTTCTTGTGTAATGTCTGATCACCTTGAAAATTGATCCAACCAATCTTTAACTGGTAAATTATGTTTCCTTGTTGCTAAGTAGTAATGATAAAAGGGCTGTTGATCTTTTCTTTGATGCTTTGTTAGAAAAAATATATTTGGAAAAAAGTGATTGTTTAATTGCGCTATTTGAAATAAAAACAGTGAAACAATAGAAATTGGCTTTTACTCAAAGACATATCTGATTTACCTATGGCGTTTTTGTCGTTTGGTTGCTGTCAAATTGAAGTTTATTCCACATCTCCTATAGTTTGAGTTCTGTTTGATTACTTTTTATTACCGTCTCCTCGGAGACGGTATTAAGAGTTGAACGATGGACAGTCTGCGGGCTGAAGGCTATCTTACTACCTAATTGGAAGATATTACTGACGCTGTCATAATTAAATTTCGTTCATTGGTTGGGACAATTCAAACCTAGTAAATGTCTTTTAATCCCGTAGAGTGTCGGATCTGAACTCTTTATTTTAGTAAATAGATTTGCCTGGTTACCAATCATGCATATCGGTACACAGGTAACACTTATCTATAAATAGCCAAATCTCCTGAAGATTTGTAAACACACACGTGATTATTTCATGTTACGTACATTTTATACGTGAAAACATAAGAAAACTTTTAGGAAAATGCCTTTTTCTTAGGTTATATTTATTTATACTCAGTAAGATTTGATTTGATTTGATTTTTGGTGTTTTTAAGCCACTTTTAAGCACCGCTTTTGGGCTATTTCGTGGCGGCCAGTTTTTATTGGTGGAGGAAGCCGGAGCGCCCGGAGAAAACCACCGACCTTCGATAGGAAAACTGACAATCCTAGTCAATTAAGATTGGAGTCGAGTGCACCCGCACGAGCGGGGTTCGAACTCACAACCTCAGTGTTGACTGGCTAGTTATTACAGTAGTAACTACTTAGACCACTCGGCCACCGAGGCCCCCTACTCAGTAAGATAATCTAAAGGCAACACAAACATTTTAAAACGGAGATATCAAATAATTTCTGTTCGATTAATATTAATTTACACAAGAATTTTTATCTCAGGGGGCGGGGGCGGCGGCGGCGGCACTTCGACCTTTCTATGGCAGAGGTGAGCAGCTGAGACATCCAATACCCCACCCTTTATATATATATATATATTTAGACCCCTCTACAAAGAAATTTGTTTTGCATGCACACGTATAAAACCGCAATTTTTATACGTGTGCATGCAAAACAAATTTCTTTGTAGAGGGGTCTAAATACAGCACAAACAACATTTTCCAAAAGACAAAATGAGTGAAAAAGTATATTTTAACAAAACGCATTTGACTAGCAGGTCGAACAACTGATGTGCTTAAACCCTGCTGACTGCCATTGGCGATTGACAAATAAACGGATCACAAGATGTAACAATTAGATCTTATCATTAATTTATTACCAAACAGAAAACAATAAACTTGCGGAAAAGATGGTATACCGCAAATATGAGGTGCAAACATTTGTACACCATATCCGGATTTCGACAATTAATGTCTCTTCAGTGATGTTAGGAATCGAAACGGTATTTGGAAGGCCATATAATTTACCTCAAATTAGGATAGACTCTTGAATTTTGAAAGAGTCAAAATAGGATGAACGGATCATATAAGTCCGAAGGCAAATATAATACAAGCCCAAACGAAAAAATATAAACAAGTCTAAATTGAAAACAACATTCAAACCTATGATTGCGTTGGATAAAAACCGCAATTTTTATACGTGTGCATGCAAAACAAATTCCTTGGTAGAGGGGTCTAAATACAGCACAAACAACATTTTCCAAAAGACCAAATGAGTGAAAAAGTATATTTTAACAAAACGCATTTGACTATATATATTGAATGATAAAAGAACATACATGCAGTTACCCTACCTATCATATATTTTTTACAATAAGTATATATACCTGCACATAGCTATCATTGTTACGCTATTTCATGGGGAGATACTAGTAAATAGATTTGACAAATATCTTAAACATTTACGAAAGTGATTTTAGAGACATATATACACAATCTCTGGTGATTTTAATTGCATCTGTAAAAAAATATCGACATCTGATTAGTTTCAGATTCAATCATCAACCTTGTCTTATATTTCACCTAAATTTCTCGACCTCATGCAATTTCATGAATCTTCAAATAGTGACCTATCCCAGCGACTCATCCTTTCCACTCATTACATAATAAGTGCCCCCACACACACCCCAAAATCGTTTGGCTGAGTTGGATGTTGTCTAGATCTACCTAGCTAGCTCTTCCTAGCAAGATATAGCAGAGGTTGAAGAACAGAAGACTAAAAATATATCTAAAAGGGAATATAAGAAGAGCAAAAAACTACTCTCAGACGATGTATGCTAACATATTTTAAGCAATGTTTAATTTCTATGAATGATTTTAAAGGAGATGTGAAGTATACATAATTAATTTAGACAGCAACCCAATTAAGCAACAAACAAAACGTGACAATTTACTTCTAAAGTTCAATCTACGGTCTTCTTCAATGGACATGTCATTACAACATTTTAAAGTTTTTTATCCTCCCAAGTCTAACTATAATATATAGAATAGTTGTGAATATGTGAGCCAAAATTAGTTCCTGTGAAAAAAGTTCCAGTGGAACAAATATCACAGGAAATATATTCTGGGAGAACTTTTTTCACAGATAATTTCTATATGATTTGTTCCATCTCTATAAAATAAGTTCCACAATTTACCTGGTGAAATAAGTTCTGGGTTTGTGAAATTTGTTCCTTACCTAGTGAAATAAGTTCCAGGTTTGTGAGATTTGTTCCTTACCTGGTGAAATAAGTTCCTTGTCTGTGAAATATGTTCCACTGGTTATACAAGTTATCTTTTATACTGAGCATTGTTATCAGTGAGCTTAAAGTTATAATTCAAGTACATTATAAAAACATGTATTATATTGATAATGTAATAAATAAAAGGTGTAAACATCCAATATGGATTCTGTGGAGTATAGCAAAATGTTTAATTACATTATCCATACAAAAATATCCAAATGACAATAATTTAATGAGGCAGATAAGCGAAGAATAAGAAAAATCCGTCAGAAATTTTTTATAGATCAATCATTTATTTATGAATATTGCAATTCAACATATGTTACTTCATATCAGAATTTGTAGATAAACTGTTATCACAGAAATATGTCTCATCCTTTTGTAATTTTGATTATGCAAATGTTGAAATTAAAATAGCAATACTTTAACATGTTTCATAAGTTATGCAAATATTCAAAGTCAATGAACCATGACTGAGGTACATGGCTAAACAATTTCCATGTAAATGAGATGTGCCAAAGCTAATACAACTGCATACCAAATACCATTGAATTATTATAAGTCGTTCCCTTTAAACAAACCTAAACACAAGCATTAACTTATAAACTATGTAAAAGTTTCAAAGTCAATACCATGAAGAGGGGGTGAGGCTATATAATATCCATGGAAACGATATTTGCAAATGCCAATAAATTTGCATACCAAATATCGTTTACTTAACATTAGCAGTTCATCTTAAACTGATCTAATCACAAACTAATACATGTAAACTAAGCAAAAGTTTCTAAGTCGATAGACAATGACTGAGGGAGCGGGGCCAAATATTCTCCATGGTAGTGAGATGTGCTAATGCTTATACAACTGAATACCAATTAACATTTGCCTACCCTAAATGGTTCCCCTTGAACTGACCTAATCACAAACTAATACATGTTAACTTAGCAAAATTCTCAAAGTCAATAGACCATGACTAAGGGAGCCAAATAATCTCCATGGAAATAAGATATGCCAATGCTTATACAACTGCATACCAAATATCATTGACCTACTACTAGTGGTTCCCCATAAACTGACCTAATCACAAACTAATACATGTAAAATAAGCAAAAGTTTCAAAGTCAATAGACCATGACTGAGGGGGCAGGGCCAAATAATCTCCATGGAAATGAGATGTGCCAATGCTAATACAACTGCATACCAAATATGATTGACCTACCACTTGTGGTTCGCCATAAACTAGACCTAATCACAAACTAATACATTGTTGACGACGACGCCGCCGCCGACGCCGGAAACAGCATACCTTTGTCTCGCTTTTTGACTCCGTCAAGGCGAGACAAAAAATTAAATATTGTGTTTTAAATATTTATCGCAGTTGTTAATCATAGTTGTGCATTTGTTTTTTAATCATATTATCTACGTACAATATATATGCTGACTTAATTTGAATTTCTCAAAGATTTACCTTATTTTGAACGTTGTCGTGCTGTTTAAAGACTTCAATGTTGAATATTAAACTTGTCAGGTACAACTATAGAATGTTTTGCTTGATATAAAGTTAATGCATCATGTAAATCTATAACACCCGGAACTTATTTAACATTTAGTAAAAAAATTAGTTCCGGAACAAATTTTACAGGGCTGGAACATATATTTTTCTTAAAATATATATTCCGGGTAAAAATGTTCTGTGATATAAATTCCGGTGGAACATATTTCCTATGAAATAAGTTCCAGCGGAACAAATGTCACGCCGGAACATTTATTTTGTTACAAAAAAAAATCTTAATAGCAAAAAATAATTCAGATATTACTTGGAACTATGAGCAGGGTCAGGAACAAACTTCTTATGTTTGTTTTGAGGTTTATTGACTATTTATACTAGACATGCTAAATGAGAGAAAGAGAAATAAAAGAAAATTATAAATTTAAAAGACGAAAATACTGTTGGCACTTTAAAAGATTATTCTTAATTGTATGTTTTCTACAAGAATTGTAAAAACAAGTATAAACATACATATACTATGATCATAAAACAAAAAGACATTTATATGTCAACATACGAACGGTCTCCCACAAAAGATTATGTCAATCCAGTATGTCAAGCTTTTAAGGGTAAGTATGATAAGGGCCTTATTCGTCATCCAACATTAAATGGTATAGTAAATAAATATGAAGATATGTACAAGTAAAACAATAACAAAAGATACAGTATCAAGCTGTATGCTTGATTAAGTTTTGGTCAAATTTGTTGATTCTCTTATGTTGATGGCCTCATAGTGAACTTAAAGTAGCTTTGCAGAACTTATCACCTTCTTTATAACCAACGACGTCTATTATGATTTGAAAAAAAATGGCGGCGAAACTACTTTGTTTTCAGGCGCTTACAATAGGTCTTATATAACAAATTACCCGTCTCACGACTCTGAGTATTTTTCATCAAAAAATAAAATCAAGAAGTCCAATAAAACCAAATAATCTGAAAAAAGAAACATTTAATTGTTAAGGATACTCATTATTCAAATATAGAAAAAGAGGCGTGGGGCATTCCACATTGCAGTCCAACTACAATGAATAGACAAAATCTTCATCGACAACAAAAATAACCATACATATATGTGAAGCTTTACATTTTAAGGATCATTTTTGAAAAGATGTGAGATACCGTTGGAAATATATTAATTGTGTTCTTATATGTTTAAATTTTACTACGTTTCACTCTCTAGTCTCTACACTTTTCGATGCCTATTATGAACGAAAAACTTTCAGGTGTAAGCGGCCATACTTTTCTAACACAAAAAACAAGCAAACAACCAAAGAAAAAGCCAACGATCAACTCCGATATCTGTTTGAAAAAAAATAATCGATAAAACGACATTACCCCCAATTTCCAGTTTTAATACTTCCCCCCCCCCCCCCAAATAAAAAATTGGTAAATCTAAAAAAAGGTATAAGCCTTTTATAATTTTTGTTATCTACTACAATTTACATACAATTTTGAACGAATTGAACTACAAAGAGAAAACATTTTCCACTTTCATCAGCTATGAGACGGCTAGCTTTTTAGAAAAGCTATTACTTGTTCAGTTTATAAGAATTCATAATTGAAAGGGTTATTTGCATGAGTATAGATCAATTGCTTTTCTTTCACCCAAGCCATGCATATACTCAGAGAACAAAAAGGATAAAAAACTTGAACACAAGTAAAGTATAAGTAAACTTTTTGAAAATAAAGTAGTTCCCTACTTTACCATCTTACTATTTTATGACGTATTAGGACCTAAATTAAATAAAAATTTTTGCAAAGTTTTAAAATATCCAGTTACCTTTAAAGAATAATGATAAGATCCGAAATAAGGTAACTTTAAACTGTGAAGGAAAACATGTATATATGATGAATCGTTCTAAACCCCAACCCTTTTACATAAGTCTTATAAAATAACCTTCTCATTATAAATTCTGATGTACGTATAGCACCTTTAACTAACAATTATAAGAAAGTTTAATTTAAGACCACTTAAATTCTAAATTCTTATTTGTAAATATATCCAGTTCTTACTTAACTTATTCTTACACTTCAGCACATTATGAATATTATTTTTAAAATTTTATGATGACAATCCTATGAATTAGTTATAATATTAATTATTTAGTAATTATTATTGCCTAAATTCAGTCATCTGTACATAATTAAATGTTTCCTTATGTTCTAAGGTGTATATAGTTGCTACAATTATACCCTATGGGTAGTGCTCCACAATTAATGGAGGAATATACAAGAAACTGAACTGAACTGAACTGATTAATCGTAGAGAGATGTACCTAAATTTATGGTACATAGTTAACAGAAAAAAGTTTCATTCTCAGTCTTATTTCAACTGTATTAATTTTAAAGACATGTCACATCCAAACGAAGTCTTTGTATATGTACATGTATACGTCTTGTCTTGTCTATAGTCGGGAAATTTTCAATTCAATTAATTTCATTTGAAAACGTTAAAAATAATATAGATCTTATTGGTTGCAAAACGTGACGTCCTTTTTGGATAAAACCCCTGTTTCATCTACGAGGAAAGTCCTATAATATAAGAATGCATATATAGGTGTGGTTGAACATTGATAGTAAAAAAAGGAAAATCTGGCATCAATAGAGCGCATAATAAATTAAAAAATAATTCCCGAAATAAATGTATATAAAATATGTGTGTGACTATTGAAAGTGTATCCACATATTTACAAGACACTGTCGCTTTTTTCACTCGTTCTTGTCCAGTAACACCGTGTATCATCGGTACAGCGGATATAGGTACTAACCTGATCGATTTTTCTTCTGACACGGTAAGAAAGTCTTTGTTTTGTTTACATAATATCAATGTGTACTCAATCTAAACATAATTGTTGTTTTAAGAAATGATTTGGTCGTAGGTTGATGATTAGAGAAGTCTCATTATTTTCTTAAAACAAGAACGCTTACTAAAACATGTGCAAATACTTGTCAAAGAAGTTGGCGCTCGTCTCATCCGATATGATTCTATATTCAATATTGCAACTCTTTTTCTGATAGAAGGCCATGCACTGTGTATACGTAATAAGTATAGCTGTTTCAATAATTGGCATTGAAATCTTTCATACATATGTTATTTTTCGATATTTTATTCCGAAAAGAAGCGTTGTGTACAGTGTATAGCTGACCACATAAATCCTTCTGTACGGTGCGTAGTTAAATGAATGTACGGTATATAGCTTTTCACCCTTCGAAGTACCTATTAAGCTATATCCGCTGTACCGATGAGTGAGTAATAAATTCCTCAAACGAGTTTGAATAGGGAAATAAAATCTGAAGAAGGAATTTGTCATCAACATTTTAATAAGGCAATATTTGGTTTTGAATGAAGCCCGTTCTTATCTGTATTTGTTGCCGTACTTATCAAAATACGATTTTCAAATAATCAAACTCAAACAGTAAAGTTTTGTTTCTCCTTAAAATCGTTCTTCTCCAGTATTACCATGATTACAAGCCTGAACGAATTTCAATGAGAAAATAAATTCTGAATAATGAATTTGACTCCATTTTTCTGTCAGTTTTCTGTCCCAATCAAGACCGACCCCCTTTCACAAACGGGCTAAAATAATGCGTACATTGAACTCCCGTCATTTATCATATTTGGTTTTTTTTTCTTAACATTTTCAGGTAGTAAGATTTGGTTTTAAATCGAGCTCATGAGAAATTATGAACTTTTTGGTCTTACAGAAAACATGTTATTTCATATCAATTTAATGTTGTTTTTGCAAGACTCATAATCAAGAACAGCGAGAAAGACTATTTCGCAGACTGTTGAATGATACTCAGTCCGTTCTTACAACGAATAAGTCCTTATGCACAGATGTTAAATAAAGATAAAACAAAAACTTGCCCATAAGCCAAACCAAAGAAAGAAACCAATAAAAGCACGTAATCTACCCAGATATTAGACTTATCAAAACACAACAAAAAACACTTTGTATGTTTATATTAAATAAAATATGATATTCGTTTATTTAATTGATGTTGGAAAGGAGAAAAAAATCACGAAGAAAAACAAAAAAACGAACTGATAATAGACAAACTATAAAACAATATCAATTGTTATTTCTTTTACTTTAGAACTGCAGAACGTATAATAACAAAATCAATTTAGCTGACTCATTACACATAAACTGTATAAAAATACATTAAATGGGACTTTTGAGGTTTTTTTCTCCATTATCGTTAAAGTCAATACACAAAGTATTTAATTACATAAATCAATTTCGAAAAAACTTTAAAATTTC